TCCCTACACTGCAGGAGTGAAAGCCCAAAAAAGCATGTGGATCAGTCCCCCATTGTACAGATGAGGAGACCGAGGTTCTGGAAGGGGACAGGCTTGCCCAAGGTCACACAGCTACTCAGAGACAGAGTCTGGATGGAATCAGGGCTGCTGCAAATATTGGGCAGGTTGTGCCCTGCACAAGGGCACCTGGCTGGGGGCAGGTGGAGGCTGAGACCCAACTCACCCTCCACTCACCAGGCTGAGCACCTGGCATGGCAGGCCAGAGGGATGGGGGGGGGGTACCTTTTAAAATGTGCCCAAAGGTGCTATATAGGCTGTAGTGACCCAGGCTAGGGCAAGGCATCCTGCCTCCTGGTCCGGTTCTCTCTCCTTCTCACCCCCTCTCTCACTGTACTTCCTCTCTCCGGGCCTCAGTTTACCCCTGCAGGCCGTGAGCTAGCTGGATCGCCTTGACTTACTCGTCTCTCTTCCCAGGACTCCCTCCTCTCCCCACCTCCACCTCCTTCTGGCCCCCAGGACCCTGAGGCCACCGCAGCTTCCACAGCCAGCACTCACAGCTCCAGCGTGGCGGTGTTCTTCTTGTCACGGATGGCATAGGGGCCATAGCTGTTGGCGCTCCCAGCGCCGATGACTATTAGGGCAGGCAGGCCTGGGGGCAAGGGGAGGAGGAGGTATGGCATTGCTGGGGCTCCCTTGGCACGTCCTCCTCCAAATCCCCCTCCAGCTGTCCATCCCTCGAGCTCTGAGCCAATCAGAAAGGGAGCTTCCCCTCCCTCGCCCCAGGCTGGTCCCCTTGCTGCCTCTTCCAGAGTCAGCCATCCCCTCTGCTTGGCCAAGCGGCACCTACCCCAGCCCACGAGGCTCAGCTTCAGGAAGTAATGCCCGAAGTAGGTGTTGAAGACCCTGATGACAAGCAGGTAGAGGTGGAAGGCTTCCAGGCCCATCCAGGTGAAGGCACAGAGCAGCAAATAGTGGAAGACGGCGCCCCGGGCCCAACAGGCAGCATCGGACCCCTTCGGGCCATGCCCCACATTGATGAAGAACGCCAGATTCAGGAGAAATAAGCTGACGCTCAAGGCCACATGGATCTTGGGGGCGTCCTCGGAGTTCAACCTCTGCCGGGAAAACCTGGGGCGAGAAGGGCCAGTGAGAGGCTGCAAGGGGGCACCCAGGCCTCTCCGTCCGATCACCTCTGATCCATTCCTGCCAGCAACCAGCGTGTGAGAACATTCCGGTTCAAGTCCACGAGCCCTCTCGTGACCCGTAGGGCCCTGTGGATTCTGGATCCTGTTGGCTTCATCCCTTGACTGCATGCTTGAGCCAAACTACCTAATTTGCAATTCCCTAAATGCATTCTGCTTCTCTACGCCTCCCGGACTTTGCCCACACTCTTCCCTCTGCTCTCAATGCCTTTCCCTGCTTCACCTTCAAAATCCCCCTTGGGTGTTGCTTTCTGGGAAGGCTGTCTCTGAATGTCACTTATCCCAGGCTTATTTGGAAGTCTCCCAGGAGTGAGCGCAGTGTAACTCTCCACCCACCCCTTATTTCCGTCTCTCCCCAGGCTTTGACCTGGGGGCTAACACAATAAGCAGGAGGAAGCCCTGCATTGGTTGAGTGAGTGGGCAGACAGGGCATGGACGTATGAAGCCTAGAACTTAGTAGGGAGGGTGAGGCTCTGAGAGGAACAGGGACTCAGAGTCACAGCGCAGGGCAGGGGCACCAGACTCCCCGTCCAGGGCTTCTTCCCAGGGCTCACTTCCCCCTCTGTGGAGTTCCCACTGCGCATTCCTAGCAAATCAGCTCCCAAAGGACTCTCACTGGAGGGGTGGGAGCTCAGGGCTGCCTGGAGTGGGCATGAGGGATAATGTCCACCTCACCTGAGATGCCAGGCCCCACCCTTGGGAGATGTTGACGGTTCCTCCTGGTGCTCCAAGCCCGTCTCACAGGGTCCAGCAGTGCAGCCAGCTGGCAAGTCATGCTCAGCTTATTGCAGATGGATGCTCAGCTTATTAGGCCAGGGCTCGGGGGATGGGGGCAGGGGTGGCACCACTTACACTCACAGTTCGATCCGAGATGGAGTGGGTGGGGCTGGTGGGGGCCTCAGCCCAGGGCCAAACAGTGCCAGCATGTGCAGGAAGGCAGTGGGAGGGCCCCAGACTGGGAGTCAGGAGACCAAGGGCTGCTCCAGGCCCGTCGTGCATGGGTCGGGAGGCCAGCCGTGGGGCTGCTCCCACAGGCTCCTTTAGGCTGGCAGTTCCTGTGGCTCCCTCCGCCATGGCCGGGGCCTGGGCACAGGCTGCAGTAGCCTCTGAAGTTTCTGCTCCTGCTTCTTCCAGAAACAGCCCCAGGTTTCCCTTGGGAGCACCCTTCCCCACTCTCAGCCATGCACTCTCAAACCCAAGGGCAGGCACTTGGGTGGCCTGACCAATCAGTGTAATTCATCCTTTCACCCCAGTGGCGTGTTCAGTCATGGGCACATGGTCTAAGTTAGACCAGTATAACTCAACTCTGGTATACATGGGATAAAACTGCATAGACATATACACAGACACACACACACAGGACATGCACAGGGTCAGCTTCCTTGGTGTATGACCTCTGCAGGCCCCTGCACTCAGAAGGGCCCTATGCTTGTTTTAATGCTCTGCTGTCACCATCCTGAAATTCTTAATAATTTTTGAGCAAGGGGCTACATATTTTCATTTTGGACTGGGCCCTACAAATGATATAGCCAGTCCTGTGTGCGTGTGTGGACATGCGCACACACGTACAATTGAGTGCGTGCGGAAAATGGTGAAAACTGAATGAGCTCTGTAGTCTCGTTAGCAGTGCTGTACCAATGTCAAGCTCCTGGTTTTATATTGAACTACAGTTATAGAAAACGTCATCACTGAGGAAAGCTGGATGAAGGAACCATGGGACTCTAGGTACTATTTTTGCAAGTTCCTGTTAGTCTATAATTATTTCAAAATAAAATTTTTAAAATTTATTAATTTACGTATTTTTGTCTTTGGCTGCGTTGGGTCTTTGTTGCTGCGCGTGGGCTTTCTCTAGTTGCAGAGAGCAGGGGCTACTCTTCGTTGTGGTGCGCAGGCTTCTCATTGCTGTGGCTTCTCTTGTTACGGAGCATGGGCTCTAGGTGCGTGGGCTTCAGTAGTTGTGGCATGAGGGCTCAGTAGTTGTGGCTCTTGGGCTCTAGAGTGCAGGCTCAGTAGTTGTGGCGCACGGGCTTAGTTGCTCCGTGGCATGTGGGATCCTCCCGGACCAGGGCTCGAACCCGTGTCCCCTGTGTTGGCAGGCGGATTCCTAACCACTGTGCCATCAGAGAAGTCCATTAAAGTTTTTTTAGAAACTTCAATTCTGGGCCTTAGTTTAGAATATTAGCTGTCCAGGCAGCTAAGAAGCTATGACGCAAGCCTGGGGCTCCCCAAGGCCCCTGAGTATGGAGAAGTTGCCTGACATGACTGAGAAAGGAGAAAGCAAAGTTTTGAGAATCAGAGGGACACCAAGTCCTGGGGACATCTTTGGAGCCCCTGGATCCAACATCACCTGAAGTGAGCTCACCTTGGGCTTTTCAGTTCTGTGAACCACACATTACCTATTATGTTTAAGCCAATTTGAGTTGAGCTTCTGCCACTTGTAACTGAAATAGCCAGACATATTTCAACCTCCAATCCCATTTTATAGGTGAGGAAACGGAGGTTTGGAGAAAATATCAGTGTGGTGCTGCACGACTAACACTACCCTGCCGGTTTCCACCCTGCCCTGCTGCCGCCCTTGAGGGCAGGAGGGAGATGTGGAGTGGGGATGGGGTGACCCACCTCAGGAAAGCATAGAGGACAATGGTGAAGGCCAGGAAGATCATGGAGGTTCCGCAGCCAGCCTGGGAAATGCGTGTGAGGGCCTTTACGCTGACTTGGTCCAAGATCGGCCTCTGTGGACGATCCCCCAAATAAGAATCCTATCAGTTGGAGACCAGGCCAGGCAGCCTCCTCCCTGGGCCGGGAGCCTTGGCGCTTCCAGGATTGCTAGGATGGCGGGGGGCGGGGTGGTGCGCCATTACCAGCAGCAGGGCAAAGAAGGTCAGGTGGTCACAGCGGCAGATGGTCCTATTGACTCCGAAGTCTGTGGAGCAGCCCTTGGAAGCCCAGTCTCCTGAGGACCCTGGGGAGGAGAGGGAGCCTAGGGGCGGGGCCGGGAATATAGGGAAGCAGAGGGGAGGGGAAGGCAGGGAAAGGGAAGGGAGGGGTCCAGAGAGGAAAGAAAGAGGGGTGGGGCCCTGCGGTTGGAGTCCTGTCCCCTAAGGAGCCCTTACCCTCCGCCCATCTTACCCAGGGAAGATCCTCCAGGCCCTACCTTTAGTCACGTCCCAGAATACACAGCTGAGGGTCACGTTCTGAAACCAGAGATTGGGAGTCAGGGGCGAGGCAGGGGAAGTTGGGAGAGGGGAGAGGAGGGTAGGACGGGGAGGGGGAGAAGACAGTGTGCTCTGGGTCTCAGCACAGGCACGCATTAGGTAAAGCAAGTCTCAGCCTGTGGTCACACAGGAACGCGAAGAGTTTGATGTATCCTGGGTCGGCGTGTCGGGGGTGTGGAGAGGCTCGGGGCTGTGGCTGGCAGGGGCGCATGTCTGCGGGCACATGCCTTTAGGGGAGCGTGTGTGTGGGCAGCCGTGCACGTGCACGTGTGTTTGCCACGTCCCCTGGGCACCTCTGTGAGCACAGGAGCGGGGGGGGGGTGGTGTCTGGGAGGCCTGTGGAGACATGCGTGCACAGGGTGGGCATGTGTCCTGGGGCACAACTGTGTGTCTGGTCCTAATGGCTTCTCCCAGGTGGATGTGGGAGCGTGGGGTGTGCAGAGTCCGTGTGTGTCTGCCCATATACCCAGGGGTGCCCACCCACATGTCTGCCCCTCAGGAGCTGCCAGGCCAGGGTGGGGGACTCACAGGAGGCTGGTGCTGGTGGGAGAAGGTGATCTCCAAAGGCTCAGCCAGACCGGTGACGTTTATATGACCCAAACTTAAGCCCACCACGTGATTGTTCAACACGCTGCTGCCATCCTCTAGGCTGAGCCGGGGGCCCTGTGGAGGAACATGGGTGAGGCCAGGCTGCACAAGGGGCTGCCCCAACCCAGCCCTGGTCAGGGCTCCTGGGAGCCTCTAGGGCTTGTGGCCCTTGCCTGGAGGGCAAAGTCTGGGGCCAAGGGACCAGGGGGCGGGGAGCCATGGGCGACCTTCTTTCTGCTGCTCTCCGTGGTCTGCTCCAGCTGGGCCAGGGCGGGCCCTACCCTCCAGGCCAAACGGCCGCAAGCCGTGTACCTGATGGCTCTCCGTTGCTGGTCTCCAGGCCTCCTCCACCCTCTTAACTGGAGGGCAGGGTTAGAAGGAAGATCAGCTGGGAAACGGAGGGCAGTGGTGCCTACAGGTGGGGAGCACCTGCCCACACCAGCACTCAGGGATACACATGTCCCCATGGGAGCGGAGACACACCTCTGGGGACATACCCGGTACAAATTTGCAAGGGCCTGGGTACACTTGCTCATGTGAACATGGTCACACCAGCACACGTGATTATGTGCGCACCAGGAATAAGGAAGGAGATACATGTTTGTGCATGCACAAGGCCACACAGGGGTCATGAACACACTTGGGATACACACACAGGAGTCCAAGGGCACAGGTGTGAGCAGTCCAAACAGCGGAGTGTGAATAACCGGCGTGAGCCTGCGGTCCACAGACCCTAGAGACAGGGGTCTGGGACGGCCTCGACTGCTTTAGGCACACTCCGGAGGTTCCTCACCTCCTCCATCCCCATCGGGCCCCTCAGCAAAGACTCCAGAGAGGGCAAGCATGTCCTGCTTAACCAAGCATGGAACCTCAGCCACCCTGAGCCTCTCCTCACCTTGAAGACATTCCCCGAACCAACATCCAGGATGGTTATGGCCAACCGAACCATTGGCCTGCTTCCCTGCAAGGATCCAAAAAGGCTCCTGGGCAGCCGGACTCTGTCAGGGTGCCGGTGCTCGTCCTCTGTCACCTGCTTCGGAATCTGCAACCACAGACCCAGCCGCTCTGTCTTTCCTTGAGGAGCCCAGCCCGCAACACAGGTCCTGCCCCCCACCTCCCCCAGATGGAAGGAGAAACAAGCATGCTGGGTGGAGGGGCAGCACTGAGGACCGAGGACAGCACTGAGAGGCAGGACACCTGGGGGCACGGTCCAAGCCCTGCTCTGTCCAGGCTGTGAGCCCCTGGCTAAATCATAGCCCTTGTGGAGCCTCGGTTTTCCCAATATGGAGAATGGAGCCAGTAAGATGCCAGCGTGGCCACCCATCAGGCTGAAAGTGGGCTGTGAAGGGGTGACACCTGGACAGGTCAGTTTGCAAGTGTGAGGGAGGGTCAGCTGTGGTGCTTTTGGCCAGGGTCCTGACCCCCGTTGTGCTGACATACGGCTATGGAGACAGTGTGTATTTTCCAACTCAGGGATAAATGGAGAGCGTAAGGCCATCAGGAAGGGAGACAGCAAGGGCCGAGAGGGAGGACACAAGAATTCACACTGAATGTGATACCCACCCCCACCCAACAACAACACATTTTGTAAAAGCTAAGAATGGTCAAAATAAATTTTACTGATAGCTGCCAAGCGTGTTTTGTTCATTCTCTGACCTCATTGCTCCCCCTGGGACTGCAGCCTGGTCCCACCTGGTCCTGCCTCAAAAGCATCCCATGGGCATTGGAACAGGGGGCGCTAAGTGTTGTAGCCGAGAGCCTCAACTTTCTGCTTCCCAATCCAGAACCTTGTCAAAAGGACGCGTGGTTGATTTCACAGGCCGGTGCCTACCCCATGCAGAGGGCTCAGCTGCTGGGGTGACGTGATAAAGGGTTGAGAAAGGCCCCGCCCATCTTCCATCTCCCCTTCTCCAGGCAGACCTAAAATCCCTCCACGACAGACCACTTCCCTGCTGCCCAAACTTCCACCCTCAGCTTTACGCCTTAAGGGAGGCTGTGCCCTCGCTGCACCAAGCATTCCCTGTGAGTTATCTCATTTGCTCCCTCTGACAACCTTGAGAGTGGGCAACACCATCCCCATTTTACAGATGGGGAAACCGAGGCTCAGGAAAGTTAGGTAATTTGCCCAAGATCACAATAGCTGGTAAGGGGCGGAACTGGGATTTGAATCCAGACCTAGGTAAACCCAGGGTCTGCCCGTTAACCCTCTGCAGCACCTCTACAAGTGCCTTTACCTGGTTTCTAATGTGTCCCCTGGTGGAAGAGTTCAAGGGAACCTCAGACTTTAGAGGAGCCTTGGAGCTCATTTTACAGATGAGGACTCAGGGGCCCAGAGAGGGGAGAGGATTTCCTGGAGGACACCTAATCAGGTGGTGGGAAGTCCAGGGCTAGAATCCTGACCCTCGATTCGGTGATCTTCCGGAGGTCTCATCCTAGCACCCTGGGTAATATATTACCGGTATCCACTCAACCAATTAACTCACCAGCACCCATTAGCCAGGTGGCAGAGAACTACCAAACGGGACGTGGGAAGGATAACTGTTGATGGGCACCAAGCACAGACCATGACTCTCTCAGAAAACTGTGCCTGAGGAAAGTAGGACCAGGACCAGCCAGCGGGGATGGGGGGGAAGCCTTCACCTGAGAGGGGGTCAGAGAGAAGTGCAGGTCTTCTGAGACGTTGGTGCTGATGTTCTTGACAAGAGCCTTCAAAAAGCCCATATTCACTGCCTCTGCCAGACTCTTCTCCACCAGATGGATCTCATAGTTCAGCCAGTATCTACAAGGGGAGACAGGGTCTTGCAGGCTGAGTTACCCACTCTCACCTGGATGATGGGAGGAGAGATACCATGCGCAGCAATCACCAGGCTCCTGGTGACCCGGAATATCAAAGGGAAGACCCTGGGATGCTGCAGGAGAAGAGAGGTGGCACGGGAGTGATTCATGCTGGTTCTGAGGGGTTCCGGAGCCAGTGGCCCCTCTGAGTATTTTATGTATTTCTCTTTTTTGTAACAAAATACATTACAATGTAAAGTCTGTCATTTTAATCATTTTAAAGTGTGCAATTCAGTGGCATTAAATACATTCACAGCGCGTGAAACCGTCTTTGCTATCTAGTTCCAGAACATGTCCATCACCTCAAAAGGAAACCCTGAGCCCATTAAGCAGTTACTCGCCCCCCAGCCTCTGGCAACCACTAATCTATGAATTTGCCTATTCTGGATATCTCATATGAATGGAATTATATGGTATCTGGTCTTTTGTGTCTGGCTTCTTTCACTTAGCATGTTTTCAAGGTTTATCTACGTTTCAGCATGTATAGGTATTTCATTCCTTTATATGGATGAATAATATTCCTTTGTATGCATATACCGTATTTTGTTTATACATTTATCCATTGATGGGCATTTGGATTGTTTCCACTTTGGGGCTATTGTGAATAGAGCTGCTTGTATTCACGTAACAGCTTTTGTTAGAAGACTTGTTTTTAATTCTTTTGGGTGGATACCTAGGAGTAGAATTGCTGTGTTAATTCTGTGTTTAACTTCTTGAGGAAGTGTTAAACTGTTTTCCATAGCAGCTGCACCATTTTATATTCCCACCACCAATGTATGAGGGTTTCAGTTTCTCCAGATTCTTGCCAACACTTGATATTTTTCACTTTGTTTTGTTTCATTTGCAATTATAGCCATCCTAGTGGGTGTGAAGTCGTATCTCATTGCAGTTTTAATTTGCGTTTCTCTAGTGACTAATGATGTTAAGCACCTTTTCATGTGCTTATTGGTCTCTGTAAATCTTCTTTACAGAAATTCTTCTGAGTATTCGAACCTGTGGGATGATCACTGTGTGGTGTGAGGGCTGACTCACATTTATTGAGTGCTAGATGAATACTGGGAATTCAGCCGCTGAAGACTTAGCTGTATGGGAACTGATTTATGGGAACTGAGCTGGTCTTGGAAACACATAATTTACACATAACATAAACACAAATTTAATTGCCATTTGTTTTACCGCAGCCCCCTTGCCAGGGGCTAGAAAGTTAGGGTGAGCAAAGTCCCCCCTCCCACCCACGTCCCTATCCTGGCGCTCTCCGTGGTGCTGAAACTTCTCTTTGGTCAGAGTCCCTTTTCCCAAGCCTGGGGTCCTAAGACTTGCTGCCCACCTTTTTAAAGCAATTTTAAACAGGTGAAGGCTGAGGTAGCAATGGTATAGAAGGGGAACAAGAGCAGATAGAGCCAGATCGAGGCTATTGGAAAGGAGTAGCTATGGAGGGCTTACCAGGGAGGCCAAAGGGAGGCTTTTATTTTGACATCATTTTTTTGAACACAGTTACCAAGGAATAAAACTCCAAGGAAACCACAGGGAAAAAAAATATTGTAAAATATAAAGAGTAAGCCATGCAAATATGTGCAAATGAGATTGGACGGTTCAGGCAATTAGAACATTCATCCAGAAACAGTGGGATGAGACTGTCCAAAACCATTGATTGAGCTACACCAACTGATACTAGTTTTTTATTTATCTTTTAAAAATCTAAATGAAGAAGTATTGTGATTTTTATTATTACCAAATAAAATAGAGAATTGTATTTCACAATACATATAGTTCACCTCATGCGCTTAAAAAATTCCTTGGCCTTACAAAACAGCCCATGAATTTACCTTCTTAAGGGAAGATTTCCTGATCTGGTTCTCAGAGCACTTTAAAAAAATTGTTTTAGTTGTGAAAGTAACATATATTCAAAAAGTTTAAACCATGGATGTACAGTTGCATTTTTTGTTTGTTTGTTTTTTTGCTGTACGCAGGCCTCTCACTGTTGTGGCCTCTCCCGTTGCGGAGCACAGGCTCCAGACGCACAGGCTCACCGGCCACGGCTCACAGGCCCAGCCGCTCCGCGGCATGTGGGATCTTCCTGGACCGCGGCACGAACCCATGTCCCCTGCATCAGCAGGCGGACTCTCTCAACCACCACGCCACCAGGGAAGCCCCTACAGTTGCATTTTTAATTATAAAGTTGACACCAATTTAAGGATCATCTTCTTTGTCTGATACTGATTTAGCTATTCAGATATCTTTTGGTTCGCGTTTGCATGATACATTTTTTCACTGTAAGTGGTGTGAGGTTCAACAACTTGTCTTTTACCTTGGAGGGGATATATTGATATTCTCTAGTCCTCTGAATGTCCAGGAGATTCACTGAGGTGATGGGACCCTGAATTCTTGTGAAGTTTGTCTCTTGCCCTCTAGTTCACATATGTCTTCCTAAGGCATCTTCACAACTTGCCACTTTCTGCTCATCAGATCTAATCAGCATAATGTTGTCAATACAGTGGACTTTGTAGAATGTCAAGATAAATGAGTTCTCTGTGAACTACCTTATGACAGCAATGAGACGTGACGTAACCCCGAGGGAACACTGTGGCTCTATGCTCTTGGCTCTGCCAGGTAAAAGCAAACTGCTACTGGCAGTCCTTGAAAAATGGTATGGAGAAAAAAACATTAGCCACGTTATAGCTGTATACCAATTGTGAGGGGCTGTGTTGATTTCTTTGTGTAAACATACTCATCTGGGACAGTAGCTGCAATTAGACTCACCACCTGATTAAGTTAATGACAGTCCATGGCCAATTCTCCAAGATCCACTTGACTTCTGGTGAGTTAAGTGGAGTTAATAGGTATCACCATCACTCCTGCTTCGTTAAAGCCTTTCACGGCAGCATTAATCTCTACATTTCCCCCCAGCAATGTCGTCTGTTTCTGGTTTACTATCTCAATGGGAAGAAGACATTCCAGGAACTTGTATTTGGCTGTTCAGTGAAATGCCCTCCCAAATGCAATTCAAGGAACAAAGCATAGTCTTTTTAATAAATAGTGCCGAAACCATTAGACATCCAAATGCAAAATGAGAGTAATAATATAAAGTTAGACATTTACCTCACACTGTGCACAGAAAATGAACTCCAAATGCAAAATGAACCTAATTGTAGGAGCTAAAACCATACACATAGAGAAGAAAACTTAGAGGAAAACTTTTGTAACCGTGGGCTAGATGAACATTTCTTTGATATGTTTTAAATTTAAGCTGGATTTTATCAAAATTAAATGCTTTTGATCTTCAAAAGACATTATGAGGAAAATGAAAAGACGAAACATACACTGGGAGAAAATACGTATTTGCAAATCATACGTCTGATAAAGGACTTGTATCCAGATTACGTACAGGATTCTTAAAGCTCAATAATAAGACGACAACCCCATTTTTAAAAAGAGGGGAAGATCTGAATAATCATTTCAGCAAAGAAAATACACCAATGGATAATAAGCACATGAAAAGGTGCTCAACATCATTAGTCATTTGTCAAATGCAAATTAAAGTGAAATACTACCCACACTCAGTGGAATGGCTATAACCAAAAATACTGACAATATTGCAAAAATGTATTTTATACTGCTGAGGGGAAAGCAAATGATGCAGCCACTCTGAGAATCAGTTTGGCAGTTTTTTATAAAGCTAAACATGAACTTCCTATATATACCAGCAATTCCATTCCTAGGTATTTACCCCAAAGAAATGAAAACATATGTCTACAGAGACTTGAATTCAAATATTCATGGCAGCATTATTTGTAATAACCCCAAATTGGAAACAATCCAGATGTTCATCAATTGGTGAATGAATAAACGTGAAGTATGTCCCTACAATGGAATATTACTCGATGATAAAAAGTAACAAGTTATTGATACATGCTAGAATATGAATGTAACCCAAACACATGACAAGTGAAGGAAGCCAGACTCCAAAGACAACATATTTTATTGTATGGTTCTCATATGTAAAAGGCCCAGAAAAGGCAAATCTATAGAGTAGAAAGCAGATCAGTGGTTAACTGTGGC